ATTCTTAAATGGGCCAAGGGTAGGCAGTGTTAATTTGACTGAAACCCTTGAGGGTTTTTTTTTTAAAGGATTTAAAAACTTGAGAGCCTACGGAACTCCTGCCGTAAAAGAGAGAGGGGGTGGTGGAGAACTGAGACCGCGTGGTCGTCCTTATGTTATGGGGGAGAAGAGGGTTAGGGGCCTTTTCCATGGTAAATGACCGGGATTTGGAAAACACCCATCCAGGAGTAGCACAGATCACTTGTGAAGATTGAGAAAACTTCCTGGGGTGCTGGAAAAGACTTTGGGATGTGGGAGAATTAGGAAGCATATCTCAGGATGGTAATGCAAAAACGAAAGATGGTATCGGCTGGCACTTTATGGCTTTTGTTAACTTTGTCTCACACCACAGTCAGGGGAAATGTGGAAGCCCCATAACCCAGTGCTGGTCGAATTATAAACCAAGCCTCTTCCCCTGACATTCCAGCCATAAGAATACATTCGTCAAATCAATATGTTTGGTATGCTAATGCATTTTTCACCCGAAACCTCAGTGCTGGAGAGCTGGGGGAGGGGTTGGACATTTTGAACAGCATGGTAGCGAAGGGGGGGAAAGACTGAATATGTGAAGGGAGAGTCTGAATACATGAGAAATACACTAATAGCTATGCAGGTCACAAAAACGTCTGCACCTGAAACACTTGGAGCCCTTTCGTATCGATAAACATCATGAAGACTAGAAACTTGGCTTCCGTTTTTAAAGAAAGTCTTATTAGGAATTTTTTAAAAAAACTTCCAAAGATGTCCAAGCTCTGCATCTAAGAAAAAGAACCATAGCAGGAAGCAGAAGGGAAAGGAAGGCAGGGACCCTCAGCAAGAAAATACATCCCAAATACAACCCTCGGAAAGAGAAGACACCTCGAATTTTCTCAGAACGAAAATTCGGGATGTCTTGCAAGTAAAAAAACGTAAGAGGCTGCTTGAGGTTAGACCCGGCAACCTTAGCCTAGAAATGCCAACTTCCTGCTATGCTACTAAGCAGTGATTGTGGTTTTCATTCAAAATGAAACCGGCGACCTCCTGCCAATACTGCTGGGCTTCGAACCTGTCTTATTTGCCACGGGCGTCTTCCTGTGAAATATGGAGTATTTCATATCCCCAAATATGCCAAACAAAGAAAACATCAATGGAGGCTGATGAACGGCGTCTGCTGTGCAAAAGGTAACCCACCTGAATTGCTGGATCCTTCTGCACACACGCTTCTTGGAAACTTAGTCATGATTTTGTTTTAAAAACTGAAGTGGTTAGGCACCAAAATTCCGAGTACTCGGGATGCCCCGGGGGTGGGGGTGGGGGCGGGATCAAATCAAATAAAAAACGGCTCCTAGCTGAGGTCTTTCGGATGTTTTGGAGTGTCACGGGAAGTATGTAAACCTCAGGGCCGGAAGCAGACATTTCGGTCAGGAGACGCTGGAGGAAGGGGGACAGTGCAGGAGAGGGAGGAAAGCATCAGCCGAGGCATCAGCAATGGCGAGGGGCACGCGGGTCTTCTGTCGACGGAAGGGGTGAGCAAAAGCGGATGCAGGCGGGGATCTCCCCTTCCTGAAAATCCCCCCGTGACCCCCCCGATGGCTGGGGTAACTGGTAAAAACCCTTTCTCCAGGGAAGCCTTGAGCCGCACACTGATCAAACATAGGTTGTCCAAAAGCTAAAGCGACTGTTAAAGACAGTGCAAATACATAGACAGTTTATTAAGAATAATCGTTATCACAACGAAAATAATACTTGCCTTGCTCTCTTGCTCGCCGGGGGAAAAATAGCAAGGAGAGTTGCCTCCGTTAGACGCCCCCTAGAGGCTGACAAGGCAGGGAGGGGGCGGAGCTTCCGGGCTCCCTCCACCAGGGCTGTGTGTGGGTGTGCTGGTACAACACAGGACTTCTTGCCTCTGACACGAGAGGAGGAAAGGCACCATTTGGGGAAACACAGTGGCTACCACCAAGTCCGTTCCAGCTTCTGGGGACGGGGCACGGGGTGCGGTATGTGGCGTGAGCTGCACGGCCTCCCCCCCACACACAAAAAAAGCACAGCTCCCCCACCCCGATCTCCAGGAAACCGCCTTTTGCACATTTTAATGTCATACACAAAAAAGTTCACACTACAAAAGGACGTTAACAACTTTCACAATATTCATGGCTAAGCTGTCTCTCTTTTTTTGTCGTTTTGTTTTCTACACAATGTACAATTTCCATTTTTTTTTCCTGGTTTTGTTTTTAAATGTGTCAAGAAATAGCTTATATACAACAAATGAGTCCTTGTTATAACATTTCGGCAGCAAATATCGTTAAGCTAAGAAGATCTGGTCGGGGAAGGGAGCGAAAGAACAAAGGAGGAGAAAAGGGGGGGGGACGGAGGCCGAGGGGGGATGGGACAAGTTATGCCTTTTTTTTTCTTTCTGAGGAAACACGGAGTGGGAAAAAAACCCCAATAAAGCATCAACCACAAAGCGTCTACAATTAAGCCGAAAAAGGAAAGCGAATGGAAGCCAGGAAAAGGTAAGCCGCATGTACCTTAAAGAAAATAAGGATGATTCTCTACACTACATCCAAAAAAATTAAGCAGAGAGAGTGAAGGAAGATAATTACCCCTCAGGATCTGGGTAAAGCTGAGGGGGGGGGGTCGATTGAGAAAGGCAACATAAAAGGACAAGGGTCCAAAGCTTGTTATCCCCCCATATGGGGTGTAAGGAGAAGGAGAAACACTGACGGCAGGCCCAACTCCACCTACCCCGTCTCTTCTAAGGAAGTCCCGTCAGCCTCGGCCAGCACGTGCTCAGGTGAAGTAACCGTGCCGGCGTAGAAAAGCTGCCTCACGGGGCAAGGAAGGAGCACCCCCGTCCCCCGGACTACAGAACTATTATCCGAATCTGCTCTCTTCCACCCACCCTGAACAAACAAAAAAAAGTGGACAAGGGAACAGAAGACATTCTGACTGCTTCCTGGATCAGCCCCACCCCCTCGCTATCGACACATCGGCTTCCAAAGCGGAAACTCGGCCAATCCCAGATACTCAGGTCAGGACCCCGCGTTTGACAAGCACCATCTCCAGACCATGAGATACTCCGACGCAAGGGTGTGGGACCTAATCCGCCGACCTTCGGCGTCTTGCCAATTCCTTTTCGGCCAGCTGCTCAGTTCCTTGGAAGGCAAGATCGTTTGGGGCGGCGGGAGAGCGAGCAAGAGACACCCCGACTGATCCCAAAGAATACTTTCTGCGGACTTTCCCAACTACTAGAACTACCTGCCAGGTGAAGGGGAGAGCCGTACCTGGCCAATCCCCTCCACCCAAACTGTCTGGCTCGCTATCAAAGGCCCCTGTCCGAGGCTTTGGGGCAGAGGCCAAAAAGGGGGGGAGGGGTCAGTATTGCACATTTTTTAATGTCATCACCATAATCTTTAAAAAAAAACCCCACTACATCCTACCCGATTCAGGTGGTTGCACTGGAACTCTCGGCGATGCCTGGTTTTAAAGGGCTGGGGGAGGGGGGAGGGGGGACAATGGCACTTGGGTTTCTGGTGATGGGCAGGGGAGCACAGAGCACATCCAAGGGATCAGAGAGAAGGAGGGCGGGGCGGGAGGAGATGATTTCACAGAGAAAACTGCAAAGGGGGGGGGGGGGGGGGGGGTGGTGTGGGGGGGAGCCTGCAGGTGGGGAACAAAATCTTTGTCGACACAGACCTCTGTGCGTGTGCGTGGACTCGGCAACTAACCTTCGACTAGCTCGTACGGAGCATCCTGGGCCTGATGGGGAGGGGCGCCCCCCAGCCCCACACACAGGCAGGCCTCATCCCATCTCCTGTTTTTTTTTGTTTTTTTGTAAGTGCTCAGAGATTGGAGGGGGAAGAGAGAAGTGTGGGTCTGGAGGGGCCCCTGGGGCAAGAGCACAAGCCCAGCGGGGAAGCATGGCTTGGGTAGGCTGGGGGGGCTTTGGAGGCCACGGTGGAGGTCAGAGGAAAAAGAGGACAGGGGACGTGACCCTGGAATGCCCCCCCCTTCCCACCCCCATTTAAGGCCAGGGAAGCCTCCTATGGCTAACAGGCTGAGGAAGGAGTGGAGGAAACTGAAGGGGAAAAGAAGGGAGAGCCCGGAGGACTAAATGCTGCTTGGCGGAATGATGCCCCCCCCTCCCCCCCCGCCGCTAGCGGGGATTCCGTTGCTGATGCTCCTTCCCCTTTCCCACAGCAGGTCTAAGAACCCAAAACGGTCTCTCGCCCCCTTCTCGGCCTGGCCTCCCAAGCCCCCCCACCCCTCGCTGTACTCAAAGCCAGCTGGCGGGCGGAGAAGTCACCCCGGTTTTGCATTCCGGAAGGCTGAGTCGGGGGCGACGGCAAGCAGAGCTTGGAGCTTTCCCAGCGGCTGGCAGCACCCTCTGCTGGCAAGGGAGGGAGAGTGAAGACAAGCACACGCCCACCCCACCGCAGGTTTCAGTCTGGCAACAGTGAAACTCTTTGGGGGTCCTGGTAGAATACTGCATGGCTCCTTTGGACTACGGGACAGAGACGAGGAAGGGGTGTGTGTGCGGGGAAATACCAGCAGCAGGGGGGGGGGAGGATGTTCCAAAGAAGCAGCTCATCTTCCACTGGGGGGGGCCCCACCCCCCCAAAAAAAAATTAACCAGCAACTCTCTCAGTTGGAACCCCCCACAACCACGACGACAAAACCATCCTGCCCTGTTGCCAAGGATTAAAAAATCTCCCTGGCTTTGACTCCCTCTACCTATGCCTGACATCAGCATGCCTGGCCCGGGGGTGGGGGGGGGTATCAACCTTCCGGGGCACCACCCGCAGTAGGGGGTTGCTGCCTTGAAAAGCTCGGCCACACCCATAGGGGTGACTTACTCCCTGCCCCGGGTGCCTCCAGCACCCTGCCCAAGTCAGGAGAAGTTCGTGGCGGATGCGCCTATTGCAGTTTCTAAAAAGATCTTTTTTTTTTTCCTACAACAACAACAACAAAAAATTTTAAACTTCTCATTTAAGCAAAAGGGGAGAAAAAAAAAGTCATTAAAAATAAGAACACAACAATTAAAAATTCTATGCATTGTCATTACGAAAGGGGGGGTGGGGGGAAAGAAAAAGGAGCATTAAAACAAGCATTAATTAACACATGTATAGTGCAGGATCCAAGCAGACACGTTCTGACCTCGGGCGGGGGGGAAATGGGGCCTCTCCCCACGAATGAAATGCAAAGGCGAGGAGAGACGAGGGAAGGTCTCTGAAGACTGGAAATGTTCTCTTCTCTTTTTTTTTTGTCTTTTTTTCTTTTCCTCCACGTTTAATAGGCACCAATCCAGGCACTGCATGCGGCGGATGAGGGGGGAGGGGCGAGGGGGCAGGGGAGGGGCGCGGGCACAGCTGGGGTGATTTCTGCCCACTGATGGACTGCGATATAGAGCGCGGCGGGATCATATCTAAAAGGTACTCCCTCTGCCGGTCCGCCAGACTCGATGCTTTGTGGCCCCCGATCCCGGCGTTCAGGTAGGCGATGTTGACACCTGGGGGGAACACGAGGAGGTCAGAATCGAACCTGGCTGGATCCAACCAAAGGCTTTGCATTGGGGGTTGGATCATAAGAACATAAGAGGCGCCAATGTTGGATCAGGCCAAAGGCCCATCCAGTCCAACACTCTGTGTCACACAGTGGCCAGAAATACCAGGTGCCATCAGGAGGTCCACCAGTGGGGCCAGGACACTAGGAGCCCTCCCACTGTTGACCACCCCCCCAAGCACCAAGAAGACAGAGCATCACTTGCCCCAGAGCCCCTATCTATACCTTGTGGCCCATAGCCACTGATGGACCTCTGCTCCATATGCTTATCTAATTCCCTTTTGAAGCCGTCCATGCTTGTAGCCGCCACCACTTCCTGTGGCAGTGAATCATGAGGAGCCTTCCCATCACGGGGGAGACTCTTCGCCAGGAGACGGTGCCACTGCCAGCGGAAAGGGTACCTGCAGGGCCCAGCATCTGGGGCGGGGGGCTAAGCAGCTGGCAATGAGCTCCATTCTCAGGGATTTAGCCATGGAGTTCTGCAGGGCCAAACATTAGATACGCTGGAGTCTCTCCTGCCCACAGTACTGCCCAGGACAAAATACAGTCTTGAGATCCTCCTCCTATAGGGTTGGGTAGGGAAATTCCTGGAGATTTGGGGGGGGGTGGAGCCTTGGGAGGGCGGGGTTTGGGAAGGGGCAGGGTATGATGCCGCAGAGTCCACCCTCCGAAGCAGCCATTTTCTCCAGGGGGACTGACCTCTGTGGTCTGGAGATCAATTGTAATAGCGGGAGATCTCCGGGCCTCACCTGGGGGCTGGCAACCCTACCCTCCTGCGCTGCCCCCAATGCCATCAGTGGATAACATTCGTATTTAACTGTGTGATGTTGCGACATAAACATATTGTCACCTGCCTTCCGGACAGCCCAGTGTCGGACAGCCACAGCCCTATTTGCCGGCTGTCCTTCAGCAGTATAAACCAATAATGCCTTGTGGGCTCTCAGCCTTGCAGGACTGCAGGACTTTGTGTCGCCCCCCCCCCCCCCCCACCCGCCTGCTCTCTCTTCCACGTGGCTTGTCCTTAATAGTCTAGTTGGTCCCTTCATCCCTGGTGATTTTCCACTGTTTTTACCGTGTTATTCGATATTTTGCACGTAATGTCTGAAATGCGATTTTGGAGTCTTAAACGTTTTAATGCCTTGGCGTTGGCCACCTTCGGGACCCTACTTGGTTGGAAAGGTGGCACAGAAAATGTTCTAGATAAGCAAATAAATAAAACAAAGGCCACACCAGTCTTGCCCAAATGTAGGTCAAACAACTGCAACGGAGACGTTCTCTGCATGTCAAGGCTAAACTGTACGGAGATAGAACCGTGGAAGAGAAATCACAGAATCACAGAGTCGGGAGGGGCCCTACAGGCCATCTAGTCTGACCCCCTGCTCGATGCAGGATCAGCCCAGAGCATCCCTGACCAGTGTTTGTCCAGCCGCTGCTTCAAGACTGCCAAAGTGGGGGAGCCCACCACCTCCCGAGGCAGATGTGTGAGATCAACTCGGTAACAGACCTGACATCAGTGCCTAACTCCGCAAACTGGGAAGTGCTTCAGGGAGTGGCTCACCCCCCCCCCCCCCCCGGGCGCGAAAGGGGCCCGCGCGGGGGGGGGGC